AACTGGAGAACAAAATAAGTTTAAAGAAAATGAAATTAAACGAATTAAAAAACAGAAAAGGAAAAAGAATCAGAAAGGCTCCTCCTCCTCCTCCTTGAGATATTAAGGGTAAAGACTTGACTTGCAGGCGTTAATATTTTTTAAAAAATTAAGAGAGCGAGTGAGCGAGCTTAAGGGTAAAGACTTGACTTGCAAGCGTTAATATTTTTTTAAAAATTAAGAGAGCGAGTGAGCGCCTTTGAGAGCAATACCTCCCGGGAGATGCTAAGCAAAGAGATGCCTTCCAAACCAGCCAAACCTCAGAAGGGCTCATTCTGAAGCCCAAAAGGTTAAAAATGGCAGGCTCTTAGTGTTCCCCTTTACATTCTGAGTGAGAGCAAAAGAGGCTTCTTTTAATCAATTCTACCATGCCAGAGCTCCCACACGTCCCCAATGCGGGTGCTTTGTTTTGCCATGTAATGGCGATTGACTGTGGCGGTGGAGGAGGACGAGCTGGCCTAGTGGGGCGGCAGAGAGCGAGAGAGCAAGCCTTCCTCACTGGTCCTCTTTCCCGGCCTTCCTCCTCTCTGAGCTGGGAGAAGGGGCTGGGGAGTTTCTGCCCCTATCCTCTCCCTTCCTCCTCTCCCCAGATTGGCCGCATTGTTTGATTGGCCGCTTTGTTTGAGAAGTTTCCAAAGAAGGCAGTGCAGCGCACCAGAAGGGCTCGCTGCCCCGGCTCGGTGCCCTGCCCTTCTGGCCAGCCCAGGGGGGAGCCAAGGGCTGCTGGGTGGGGGCGGCTAAGGGCTCCTACCCAGCGGGAGTCTGAGTGCCCCACAGGAGGGGGAGGAGAGGGGAGAGAAACAGGCAGGTGAAAATGAGCCAACAAGGGGGAAAGGAAGCGGGGCTCCGGCAGCGGGGGATGCTTCCCCTGCCGGAAGATGAAAGTCTTAAGTCCCTGTTTCAGTTATTGCAGCTACATCCAGAAGAAGTGACACCAGAGAACCCTGAGAGATTTATTTTAGTGCAGGACAAATTATACAGGGAGACTCTAAAGCAACCCATAATAGACAGAGAGGAAACCTACAACAGATGATAGTCCCAAATGAGAAGTTAGAGGAAATTAAAGCTAATTATCTCATACAAAACAATTATAAAACTGACAGAACCCAAAATAAGAAGGAGTTTCTGCTTTAGTAAAAGGACTTAAGGCGGGTGTGTTCCTAAGTATAAGTTAGATAAAAATAAATATTTTAAATCTGGACGAACAAGGGAAAGGTTATATCTAAACAAAAATAGAAATAAATTAAAAGAGAAAAGTTATGCATCTGAGATGTTTAAGAAGTCTGGTAGTGGTGAAAAACAGATTAAAGAGAAATCCAAAGGCAAAATTAATAGACAGTAGAGGTAAATCTAATGCACAGAAAAGGAGAAACTGTGACAAAGAGCAAGGTGTGTTACAAAGGGAAAATGTTGTATACCCTCATGAACAGAACAATAAGGACTGCAAAGCAAGAAATTTAGAGAGTAGAAAAAACAATAATAAACCTATAATTGATGGTGCTGAGATAGAGAAAGCAGATAACGGAGAAACATTACTGAATAAGTCTAGAGGAAAAAATCAGTTCAACACAGCTGTCTTAGACATAAAAGTACCAGTGCATTCACAGTCAGCTTCAAACAAAGAAGTGGACAGTAATATAAAATCTAATACAGTAGCTAATACCTTAGTAAACACCTATGGTAAATTAGGATTTCAGGCTGAGTTTGTTTTAGAATTAAGTACAAACTTTACAAAAATACAAAAAGTACTGGGATAGAAAGAGAATGTCACCTGCTGTGATCAAAATGCAGAGTCAACAGCTCCAGTGTCGACAAATCCTACATTTATGTTATTGAGGGGAAATCAATGGCTTCCCTGATGGAGACCTCCTGGGGGTCCGATCGTGGTGGTAGGGGACCCCCCCAAGAGGTCTCCAATGGTGGCAGGGAAGCCCTGGGAGACCTCCCTGAGGTCCCCCGCCGCCATCGGAGACCTCCTGTGGGTCCCTTTTCCTAACCGTTGGGGTGAAAGAGCAGCCTCTTCGCCACCAACGGTTTGAATGGAATGAAAAAAAGGCAGGGGAAATTTGAATTTCCTGCCCTTTTCCCCTGCCTTTTTTCGTTCATAGGTTGAGGCTCCGTTTGCAAGTCGATGCAGCTTTTTGCGAATGGAGCCGTTTGTAAGTCAAAATGTTCATAGGTAGGGACGTTCGTAAGTCGAGGTTCCACTGTACAGGCAGACATTGCCCAGCAGAATGCTCTAAAATGGAGGACACAACATGGTACACTTTCTAACAGAATGGACTCTATATGTTGATTTGAGTGACCAATATCTAAAGCCCTTAACAGCTGGGGTCAAGAACACTTCCCTCTATGCACAGTCCTAGTCCTGCTAGCTGGCACAAACTACTATATGTCCTATAGGACTGCTAAATTTGTTTAACTCATGGAAAGATGGAACTTATTGTCTGCTTCATAAGTTCTTCAGGTTAATCTCATATCTTGATTCTTGTTTTCTTTTATGAGAATGCGATTACAGTGGTGCCCTGCTGGACGATTACCCCACTTTACGACGAATCCGCTTAATGTTGAAGTTTTTGCAATCGCTTTTGCGATCACAAAACGATGTTTAGATGGGGGAATTTTGCTTAACGTTGATCGGTTCCCTGCTTTGGGAATTGATTTTTCGCTTTACGACGATCGGCAAACAGCTGATCATTGGGTTTCAAAATGGCCGCCGGCTTTGGAAAATGCCTCCCCGCTGTGTTAGGGATGGATTCCTCGCATTACAGGCACCAGAAAATGGCCGCTGTATGGAGGATCTTCGCTGGACGAACAGGTATTTCGCCCATTGGCACGCATTGAACAGTTTTCAATGCGTTTCAATGGTTTTTTTATTTTGCTTGATGATGATTTCACTCTACAGCGACTAACTGCTATATTTTAATGTGAGCTTTTGGGGAAAAGTTCACTTCTTCAGACAACAAATTAATGTGTGAAAAAAGGAATAATGCCTAGCACATTTACACTGGCATAATTTTACATTACATGAACAGTATTTTGCCCAATGGATTAAAACCATCAAATTTCTTTATGAACATGAAGTAATAACACCAAAACATTTCCTGATATAGATTTCCCCTCATAGTCCCTCCTGTTTTGACATAAATCTATTTTTATTTTCTTATTTTTTTGGTTGTACTCTTCATGGCTGTTATGTGCCATCAAATTGCTTCTGATTTATCGAAACTCTTTCCAGGTTTCCTTGGTAGAGATTGCTCAGAAGTGGTTAGCCATTTCCTTCTTCTGGAAGTGCCTATAGCTCTATAGTTCACGAAAGAGTACATAGGTTGGCTTTTCTCTTGAAGTAAGCTATAGTTAGAATAGACCCATTTGAATAAATGGAATCTACAGAGTAGTTGACTCACCATATATCCATTGATTCAATGGGTGCAATATACTGTGCTTTAATGTGCTAAACAACAGGATTTTGGCCATTAATTAGCAGCAATCAGATACTATTTTTTATGTAATTACATGTGTTGTTGTTGTTTAGTCGTTTAGTCATGTCTGACTTTTCATGACCTCATGGACCAGAGCACGCCAGGCCCTCCTGTCTTCCACTGCCTCCCGGAGTTGGGTCAAATTTATGTTGGTAGCTTCAATGACACTGTCCAACCATATGCACATGTACACTGGCAAAAAAACCTCAATTTCAGGCCAACATAAACACAAATATTTCAAATAACACCATGGTACAGCCAGGGATATGCACCAAGGCTTCTGCCACTACCAGAAATGTATCCATGACACCTGGAAATCTGTTTTCTATGTCCCAGGCTAACTTTTTGCCTTACCTGAAGAACAATCTCTTCATCACACACATAAAGCATGGCTGAACACTAGAGATGAGGGTATTTATATAAGAATATCCCCACACAGGTGGCATTAACGAGGGTCAAGCCCCATGGGGCCGGATGGTCCACTCACTGATCCGACACGGACAGAGATTCTACCAATGGCTCCGCAGCGCATGATCTGCTCGCCATGCTTCGACCTTGCAGTGAGGCTTGTCCTCCCGCCTCTTGCTAGGAGTGGCAAGTGGATCACGTGCTACAGAGCCATTCGTAGAATTACACTACCAGTGTCTGCGGTGGATTGGTGAGTGAACCGTCCGGCCCCATGGGGCTGGACCCTCATTAACACCACCTGTGTGGTGTTCTTCATATATGAATGCCACCATCTCTACTGCACATACCTGACAATAAAGAATGAAGTAAGTGGTTTAGGTAGCTGGCTGTGGAATCAGACATTGGGAGTTCAATTTTCCACTGTGCCTCCTGGAAGAAGAGCCAGTCTGTGTGGCCTTGGGCAAGCTGCACGGTCCCAGGGTGTCCCCAGAAGAAGGGAAGGGTAAACCCCTTCTGAGTACTCTCTATCTGGAAAGCCCTGCAAATGGTCGCCATTAGCCAAAAATTGTCTTGGGGGCACAAGATATTATTAAGGTACAATAGTATACTATTCATACATGACACTATCAAGGTTGGGTGCATATTTTAGAGGCACTAAAATGCTTACTGTCAAGTACAAACATCTGTATTCATTTCTGCATATTACAGTATTTGCACAGGGCAGGATAGGTTCACACTCCAATTAAGCACAGAACTAGACCCTGTGGCATTTCACAAAAATCACTCTCAGGTGTTTGAAGAGCATTTTGTAGTGGTCCTTAGATATTAGGAGCATTTTCTTTTACTCTACATGAGTCTATATATAAGAGTGCCAAGTCCCATATTTTTAGTGCAAATATGTACAATTTTCAGCTTAAATGCTCTGGTGTAAGAAGGAAAAATGCTATGAATATGAAATAAATGATATGAAAAGAACAGAAAAGTTTGTGGTGCGTCTTGTAATGTTATTTCATACTCATATCCTGCTCTTATTTCCAAAAGAAGAATTAAGACATTAGAAATTATACTTACACTGGGATGTTTTCAAAGGCATCTTCAAAGTTTTCCTGAAAAATCAGCAAGAAGAAGTTTTCAGTATGCTGAAACTAAATATATTATGTCTTACTCTGCATGTGTGTAGCAACCCGCTACTTTATGGGTAAATATTACACTTACATTGTGAGTGCACTTTTCTTTTTGCAGCCCACATCACATTTACACTTCACATTCTCTTTTTGTCTTTTTTAAAGTGGTAACACTCTGCCACAGAAAGAGCTAGTGGCAACAATTATATTTTTAAAAAACTTGCATTGCTATCATAAAGTAATATATACTGTTCGTATCCCGAGGAAGTTGTTTATTTAGTATATAAAGGCATGTTTTATTCAACGAATGCTGATAATTTCAAGAGAATAATGCTAGTAGCAAGAAACCAAGTTTTCAAGAAATGAGCACCAAAATGAATGGAGAATTAGACAACACAACAACACATACAGAGAAAACAATTTGGAAGAGCATATATATGTTTATTTGTTAATGAAACACAAATTGTTTCTCTTGGGCTTTAATCTACATAGGTAAAGGTAAAGGTTCCCCTTGACAATTTTTGTCCAGTCGTGTTCGACTCTAGGGGGCGGTGCTCATCCCCGTTTCCAAGCCATAGAGCCAGCATTTGTCCGAAGACAAACTTCCGTGGTCACATGGCCAGTGCGACTTAGACACGGAACGCTGTTACCTTCCCACCTAAGTGGTCCCTATTTATCTACTTGCATTTGATTGCTTTCGAATCGCTAGGTTGGCAGGAGCTGGGACAAGCGACGGGAGCTCACTCCGTCGCGTGGATTCGATCTTACAACTGCTTGGTCTTCTGACCCTGCAGCACAGGCTTCTACATAAATGAGGTACAAAAAGGTAAACCAAAGCCTGGATAATCTAGAATGAGAAATGGGACACTGAATAATAACCGTAACCAGCAGAATATGGAGATTATCCAGATAAGTCCTTTCAAGATCACTCTGTAGAAGACACATTTAATCCAGTCTGTTGGATCCTGTTGCAACCCTGGAAACCTATAAACCAATCCTAAACTATGAATTAATCAAAACAAATTTATCAAAATCTGAAATGTAATCTTATGAACATATTCAAGTTGTTGGTGGGTCTACAAAAAATACTCTGAAACTAGGGGGGAAAATAGGCAGGCAGAAAATGACCTGAAGAATGTGTTCTCCTTTGGCGCACATTTGTATTACTTTAAAAAACAGGGTTTATGTGTAGTTGCTAAAATAAAGTGCACCCAATTAAAAATGTACAACTAAGAAAGCGATGTCAGTGTATTAGCACCAAATACCTTTGCAGCTTAGACACCACCAGATCATGGATCTGATTTCTCCTACTGACAGAACCCAAAATACTGTATACATTTAACTGGCGGACATGTTTGTAAGATCAAGTCTGAAGAATACAACTTTTTAAAGTAACAAATAATTCATATGGGAGAAACTACGTTTTTAGTTTAACTGAATGTGTGCCACAGCATTCCAAAACGAAAATTCAAATGCAGAATTTGAAAATACAGCCAGTGTTCAAACCCCACTCCCAAATACTTCAACATTTCTTGTTTATTTTAGAATGGTGATGCTTAGATCAATGATGCTTCTCCTTCATGAAAGAATACCACGCTAAGGAGACACAACTAATCTGGGATTTGTTTGTTTTTGTATTTTAAAGCAACACAGGATAATGCATTGCTGTACTTACCTAGGCCCCATTTCACCTCTTGTGAACTTAGATCAAATCACTAAAAAAAGAGGAGCAATTCTAAGAAGTTCACCCATGAGACAATCTGTTACAGATACTGTTCCCTGGTGTGCTTACAATTGGATAACTGTGTCACACAAGGGCAGTAATAAACTGTTACTCCAGACAGTGATAGTGCACTTCTTTCATGTAACCTTTTGTGTTATGTCAGGGTATCATTAACTTTCAGTTATATGATTAAAAATATATCCTACACTTAAGGGCTGTGTTTAGGACAGCAATACCAAAATTGGGAGCAGGGTTTTAGGAGGCCACGACTTAAATCTCTAGAGATTACATATGTTGCCAAAGTGCTGGCATTATTTTCAGCTTGGCTCACTGGACTTATACAAACCAGATACCAATTACTGGAATTTGATTAAACTGGATCTATGAGGATATACATTTCCTTTGTTTGGGCTGTACACTTGGGAGACTGGGAAAGCTTCCAGAGAATTACAAGGATGATTTTTAAAAACCAGACAATTGGCACTTTAAATAATAAATTAGTTTATTATGGCATGCACTTTTATATTAATTAGCATTTTTCTTTAGATAAAAACAAATAGCATATTTGCATACAAATAATCGCTAGTGATTTTGAGCAGAAAACCAACATGGGACGCTAATCTGTGTGCAAAAAAACAATCCAGACCAAGGCCCTGTGTTGTAGCTTTTCTTTTCTAATAGGAATATCCATCTTAAGCATGCTTTTAAAGAAACAATCAATGGCAGCAGAGACAGTCAAGAGACAGACATTTGCTGATGAGTTTAATTCTTTAATTCCATGGCAGATATGGACTGTTTTCAATGAGCCTGATTCCAAATCATTTAGGCCTGTGGTTCCCAGTCTTGGGTCTCTAGTTCTTTTTGAACTTCATCTCCAAGAAGGGATGAGCAGACAGCGATAGAAAGTTAATGTCCAATATATTTTAGGGACAATATTACATGAATCATTGATTTAGGGTTTTATAGTTGTATCTTAAATTTGTTGAATATATTTTATTTGTTTATTTATTAAATTTATATGCCACCCTGTCTTACTGTGGGGTTAGATGTTTCTGATCATTCAAGATAAAAGAAAGAGAAGAACTTATTGGCCAAAGAACCTTGAATGTAACACATCATCACTTTTCAGACCTGCTGCATCCCAGCTCAGCATAGTCATGGCAACACTGAGCCTCTGGCATGAGAAAAACAGAAAGAACAGGTTGATTATCTCTAAATGTCATTTTTCATGTGCCCATCTAAGAACTCACAGAGTATCCCTTCACTATATACTATAAGGCTACAACCTAATGACTTGTAATACCCCTTTTGTAGCCAAGGAGGAGTAAGATGCAAAGCCAGGATCCTGAGCTGTAAGTCCCTCATTTAGCATAACCCAAGGGGAGGATATACAAAGATGCAATAATATAATATTAGATAAACACAAGAGAGAAGTTAGAGGCTCTTACTAACTTCAAAGGTGCTTTAAAGTAACAGGATACAGGATACATAGAGATGTGAAACATCTGTTTCAGGAGTTAGTCCACCTTCCCCACTTTGCTTAGAATGTCCAAATGCTTCCAAATCTTTGCTATGCTGCCAGACCTTCACTATCTAAGCTAACCATGCAACTTTGCCTTTTATATGCGCCTCAAGTTCTCTGGAGGTTTTGTATACAGAGAGAATATTTATTGGCTCCCAAAGCTCATTCATTTGGCTATGGATATATTTTTCCTCAATAGGTCCTCCACAGCCTCATTTGTCTTGTTAGACCCTCTCCATCAAATGGGCGATCTCAAATATCCCTGCTAACCTAAGTCAGGCATGCCTTTTCCAAGATAGTGCTATCACAGATGTTGCTGCATAGTCAGAAATGTGTAGTTGATGGGCTGCAAGAGCTTCTGCTTCCTGCTGGAAAGACAGCTACTGTTCACGTCATCTGGAGATCTAGACAGAAAGGGCTGCGATTTATCTTAAATGAACTGCTGATAGGCTGCCATGGCAGCTTAGTAATTGGCTATTCTTATGGCCAAAGCTGACCAACTAGCAACTAATCAAATTCAACATCAGCTTTCTTTGTTAAAAGATATAAAATGTATTTTACCTTTACTCTTTTGTTTGTGTGACTTTAACTATTACAGTGGCGCCTTGATTTATGAACTTAATCTGTATTGGAAAGGTGGCCATAAGTCAAAACGTTCATAAGTCAAAGCACCATTTCCCATAGGAATGCACTGAAAACCAATTAATCTGTTCTGGCCAAAGAAAAAAATATATTAAAAAATACTGCAAATCCTACGCTGGGACTGCAAAATAACAAAACAAAACACCAAAAAATAAAACAACACAGAAACGTAACACCCCCAGCCCAAACCTACCCTCCAAAACTTACCCAAAACAACTTTTTTTTAAAAAGGAAAAAGCAGCACCTTACCAGTCCGAAGCCTCTGTGGAGGCTTCCTGGGCTTCAAAAGCAATGGCACCCAACCGCTTCTCCTTCCTCCTCCTGTGCCGCTGCCACACACCTCGTCCAGGGAGCCCCTCTGACCCGCGCGCACCGCCCAGGTCCTTCAGCGGCCCTTACTCCTGAGTAGACCTGTGCTTTCTGCAGTGCTTACTCATGAGTAGACATACACCTTCTGTGGTGCTTACTCCCAAGTAGACTCACGCCAGGGATGGGCAGGGAGTGCACCAGCTTCCTGCGCCCGGTGGTGATCTGGAGCTATCCCCACCTCTCCTTCTCCTCCTGCTCGGCAGAAGTAAAAAAGTTCCCTGACCCCCTGCTCTAACCATTGGGGTGAAAGAGCTACAAAGAAGCAGCCTCTTTGCCACCAATGGTTTGAATTTCTCACCTTTTCCCCTGCCTTTTTCCATTCATAAATCAAAGCTCCGGCCACAAGTCAAAGCAAAATTTTGCAGCCAGGGCTTTTCATAAGTAAAATTGTTCTTAGGTCAGGGCGTTTGTAAGTCAATGCACCACTGTATTGAGTTCAGCAATGGTTTCTTGAAAAGAAAATTAGCCCCTTGTTTCTGAATTCTGTATAACTCCTCAATGCAGTGTGACATTGCAGAAATGGTAGGCGGCTTTTGCCATGACTGCTTGACAAGAGCTGTATGAATTGGCAAGAGTGAAAGTCAGTCCTTAATGGATACAGAAGGTTATTTGGTGAATGAACTGTTTTTGTTGTTGTTTAGTCATTAAGTCATGTCCAACTCTTCATGACCCCATGGACCAGAGCACGCCAGGCCCTCCTGTCTTCCACTGCCTCCCGTAGCTGTG